CACTTCCCACCCCAGCCCTTGGGAGGATTTCTGCCCAGCTGGCACAGTTTGCACAGAGCTGTGGCTGTGCCATCCCTGGAAGTGTCCAAGGCCAGGTTGGACAGGGCTTGGAGCAACCTGGGCTCGTGGAAGGTGTCCCTGCCCATGGCAAGGGGTGGAACTGGATGAGTTTTAAGGTCTCTTCTACCCAAACCATTCCAGGATTCTGTGACACTGGAATATTGCTGCACCCAGAGCTGTACCCCCACTGATCACCCTCCCTCAGCCCAGGCCAGGTCTGGCCACAGCAGGACTTTAGGGAATATCAGCACAACAACATCCCAAGCAGTGAGCCTGGTTTGTCCCAGGAATGGGTTCCTGGGCTTTCCAAGGGGAATGCCACACTGGAAGAGCTGCTGAGCCCAGCAGCAGCTCCACACAGTTGTGGAGGGGAAAAGAGAGGCTTGGCACTCCTGAGGGGGTGTCCTGGGCTGTTGGGAGCATGTGAGAGCCAAAAATCCATCTCTTGGAAGAGCAGTGCAGTGGTTATATCCCTAAAGAGCTCGGAATGGTCCTGAGGCCCACAAATCCTCCCTCTCCCATCCAGGGGAACCCCCAAGGCAGGTTCTCTGAGCTCTTCAGGGCCTGGGCACCACAGGTAGGGAAGCCCCTGGCACAGCCCTGGCTGAGCTCAGCTCCCAGAGCTGCAGCCACATCAGCAACGGGGCTTTTGCCACATTCTGGGTGAGTTTTACTCCAACCCCACGGACTGAGAACTGCCCCCCCTGCCCTGCACACCCCTGGCAAACTCCAGGACAGCCCCTGTGACTGTGCTGAGGCCACTGGATTTTCCAGGACAGCCTCAGGCAGGTGACAGCCCGGGGAGAGGGACAAAGCTGCTCCTGACCCCTCAGATCCTCCTGTCCTGTCCCACACTGAGCTGCCTCGTGTCCAGAGCTTTGCCTGGGAAGGCAGAGCACAGCAGGGATGAGACTCTCCCTTTTCATCCCATCCTTTATCCTCAGCCCTCAGCAGCCTCTGGCAGCGGGGTCTGTGCCAGGTGACTCACCAGCCTGACTCCAGCCCTTTCATCCATGGGAAAACTGCTTCCCAAGAACACGCTGCTCAAAGGTGTTCCCAGTGCCCTCAGCAGCTCCTCTGGCTGAGATGGAGCCTGAGACACTTCACTGCCACCATTAAATCATCCAGCCTTGATAATCCAGGATTAGGGACAGCCCTGCCTGATCCTGATGCTGATCCTGGCACTGTCAGGGCAGGGATTTCCCATCCTTTTGGGAGACAAGAGGTGGAATGGTTTGAAAACTGCTGGAATTCCTCCCTGCCATTCCCACCCTCCTTTTTAATTGACAAACCAGCCAAACAAGGACTCAAAACTGACGTTGCAAAGAAAACACCTTCAGTAACCCCACGGGCATCCACTGATGGGGGGGGGGCTGCTCCAGCAGGACAGGGGGCAAAATAAACCACAGAGAGATCCCTAAAAATCCCTAAAAATCTGCCTCTGTGCGGGAGAGCTACAAGCAAAGCCTTCTGTGGAGAGCCTGCCATCCAACACCAGAGAAAAGCATCATCTCAGAGCCTTGCAGGGCTCTGGGGACACCCCCAGGGTGCTGGGCAGCACTCAGGGCTCTGGGGACACCCCCAGG